TACTATATTATAAAATATTTGATAGAAAATCTTAAAAATTATTTTGATGCAAAAAATATTGTTTATCGATGCACATTATTAAAAATTTAAGATTACAAGTAAATTATGCGTAAGTACAACTTATTAAAGGTTCATATTTGAATTCATGTAACTAACTGCAGATAAATATAAGTAAATAGAGGATAAACATCTCATTTTAAATTTAAAAAATCTAAAATATAATTAGGTTAGTTATTGACTTCTAATAAAATACTTAATTATTATCTTTATAAAAAAATTATATTATTAAACCAAAAATAAGAAATATGAATTAAGGAAATACACAAAAAATGGAGAAACTTTGAATAGTTAGTTTGGTACTAATATCAATATCTTTTTTTCAATTTTTTATGATATCTTCATATTTATATTTCATTTAAAAATAAAAATATTATCGCTTTCTCAAAACCACATAAAACTGTATTATAACATCGACTGAGACAAAGAAAAAATAAAATGAAACATTAAAAAAACTAATACCAAATCAACAAGCAAATCAGAAGGACATCACAATAAACTCATTTTTAAATGGAACCGATGCAAATCTGAAATCTAAATCTAATTCAACAACCAAATCAAATGGACACCCTCCTGCTAGAACCTATATCCAAATCTGAAACCTAAAAATCTAATTCAACGACCAAAATCGAATGATCCAATGCCAATTTTCAGTCAAATGAAACAAAATGTCAATCAAACTAAGAACCCCAAATTACAAAAGCAAAGGAAACCAAAATTAGAGGAACAATATGAACAAGCAAATCGAAAACTTTGAAAACCCAAACAGAACATTCGTCCAGGTTGCGATTGCAGAATGAAAAATCCCAAACTAAAAACATTGACATAAGGACTAGAGTTGAATTAGTTCAAAAGAAGGACTAGAGATACTAGTGGACGGCAACGACATGGACCAAAAGTGTAATTTACTCTACCATATATATATATATATATAACTAAAATATCAAAAATTAAATTTCTCTATAAATTTGTTTAACTATGGTCGATATTTATAATATACAGATATATTTATAATATATAGTAATACGAATACCAAAATAATATGAATAAGGTGAACATTATGTATAAACAAGGTGAATATCCTCACCGATACGAGTACCAAAATAATATGAACCATACCTAAATTTAAGGGATGAAGACTTAGGCATCAAATCATTGATGAAGTCAGTTACTATTTGATGGAGTAATTACTGGACGCTAATTAATGAGGAGAACTTTTTGATTTTTTTCAACAATACCCTTGATCATATCATACTCTTAGTTATTACATAAATGTCATGACAAATATAATCCACTGATTTTCAAGATGAAAGGATGTGATTGGTTCACAAAATTACTACCATATATTAGGTTAAGAAAAGAATTTGTCTCTATATTTAAAGAAAGATTTAGGGGTCGTTCGGTTGTGGCTTCATGTATAGCCTACATGGCTCATTAATTTGCTCAGCCATAAATACATGTTCGGTTGTGGCTTATTTAGTAAGCAAATGACTTAATTGCTCACCTCGCAATGTGACGGATGCCGAGTCCGACAAATAATAAGTTCCAACTACGGCAAATTACAACCAAAATTGTAATAGCGGTAAGTCGGTTCGATTCCACAGAGACTCGGTTTCAACTTATTCTAGCCAAACTAATCAAGTACAAGTTGACTAAATAAAAGTAAATACGAAGGGGGGGGGGTTTGGATTTGATTAATTAAGCTAAGCATATAATTAAAATCAACTTAAAGCAAATA